TCTTAAACCACTTCTCTGAGAACATGTCTAGGTTGGTTTTCTAGGAGGTTACTGAAGGGTTGTGGTATTTGTAATGTTTGTCTTTATTTAAACACATACAAAGGCTTAAACATTCAGCAAAGGCTTAAACATTCCAACAGAAGACATTCCAACAAATCCATTGACTCTCACTTCATATCTCCAAAGATGTGCTACTATCTTAAAAGTAAAGGTAAAGGTTTCCCCATGACATTAAGCACCTCAAAAAACAAAACAACTCCTTCATTTCTTACAGTGTCTTCCTCTGCCTCACACTTGATGATGATCTGGCCCTTTTGTTCTCTTTTACAGCCTTAGGATACATAAGCTTTAGAGAGGAGCAGCAGGGGAAAAGGCATGCCCCCTGTAAAGAAACACCACACTATCAGTGTAATAACAATGATTATAAAAGGATCCAGGGGTGATCCTGGAAGGCACAGGCATAATGTCTGTTCTGGGGAAACTGATTGAAAACTTTATGAAAGATAAAATTAGGCAGCATATGCAAGGACAAGCCTTGCTGGGAAGGAATAAGCTTTACAACTTATTTATAAATAATCTTGTGGGTTGAGAACAGTAGCCAAGGTTATTTAATCTAAATACATTTAAGAAATCACATTCTATTTGAAAAGTAATACATTTATCCCTTGTATATAAATCTCCTTATTAAACATTTTGTTCCACCTTTTGTTCCACCTTTGAGTTTGTCTGTTGTGGTGGTGACACCCCCATATGTCATAGGAACAGGCTTCTGGGGTTTCTAAAAGGTACAGAGGGTGATTTTTGTGGATTTGACTAAAGTTGAGATAGCCTTGTGGCAGGCTTTGTTTCATAGATCCAAAGTTCACATTTTGAATAAGAAAAATAGCTGTAGAAAGCCTAGGTGATTTTTCTACACTGGATGACTAGCAGTTGCCACTCATGATGCTCTTCCACATACCTACCAGATATTCAGAATACTGGAGAAGGATTGAGAGCACTCAGCTCATCTCTGAACAAAAGAAGCTTGTGGCAACTTTGTTGGACTAGGAAGTTTTCAGCAGTACTTCTTGCCCCATTAATTCTCACCTGTCCAAATCCCAATTGCTTTTTGGAACTTTTTAAACTTGTTTGTTTCCTAGGTCAGCCTAAGCAAATCATGTCAGTTTCTCCGATAGAAACTGATAGAATACACAAGTTTGTAAGAGAGTAGCACATGGCCCATAGACAGCTGCTAGGAAAGGCACAACATATTTTGAATTCCCAGGTCTGAAGTCAAAAACAGGGCTTGGAGTTGTGGTTTGTGTGCTGACTACCTACCCCTGAACAGCAGCTGCTGCTTCTTGAGGCCAGAAAATTGACCTCAGAGATGATAAAGGGGCAGTTTGGGGGACAAGGAGGAAAGGATGGGTAGTCAGCATAGAAAGTGACCTGAAGGTGGTCCAGCCCCTGCCTTTTCCCCCTCTGAAGCAGTGCAGGATGGTCAAAATCGGTGGTCTAGCTGAACTGCAAAGTGGAGGGCTGGGGAAGCCAGAATCACCTCTCTCACTTCCCTGTTCAGCATTGAATGATTGTATGCCATTCAGAGGCTTATGAGTATCAAGGGTACCTTCAACTGGACTGCACCCTAAAAAGGCTTTCCCTAACCTCCTGTCATGTAGGCTACAACTCCCAACATTAATGACTATGCTGTCTGGGGCCCGCCCTATTTATCCTAAGTTTTACTCTGCTGGCGCGATATTTTTGGTTGTCTCAGCCCTGCTGCTATTGTCCTTTTCATAACTATTTTGACTGTATCATGGTTTGATTGTTTTATCATCCTATTAGCTGTCCTTGAAATAGCAATACTGAGAGCTGGTATATAAAATTAATAATATACAGAATCTTGTTTAAAATGATGTATGTCCTAGTATTTTCAGCCCCCTATGGAATGATATGAAGATAGGCTTGAATATTGAAGAGTTTGAAGAAATCTGCACACGTCCTTCCTTTTTTTTAAATACCTGTACTTTTGTTGGTTAAGTTTTATAACAACATTCACAACTGCATTCATTCATCAGAGGGAAGCAAGAGAGTCAACACATTAATGCAAGTACCTTTTCTTATGGGGAGAGCCAGAGCTTTCATGAAAATGACAGAAATAACTGCCTTCATTCTGAGCTAACCCATTTCTCCTAATTTAGTGAGAGCAACAAGAGTACCTCTTTGCTCTGAGGGAATCTCAAGGACAAAGTATCCCCACAAGGGATTAGGACTTTTTCCTGAACTCCAACACAAAATGTGAAATCACTGACCTCACTTTTAAATTATTACTCTTGATTTAAAATAGAACTGACTAATGAGAAGCCATTTTCCTCCACAAAATGCATCAGTGGAGAAAATGGCTAGTACTAATTATCAAGAGAATATAATTTAGCAATCATGCATTACATTTTTTGAGCATAATTGCTCTTATAAGCAGTAACTGCTGCGGGTATAGTGTCCAATCATAGTAGTATCCAATAGTATTAGCAATTTACTATAGCATTTTAAAAAAACGTTTATATGCATGAAACTTCCAGTTCAGAAATGATTTCCTCCCCTTTTAAGACTGTCAGTGGAGTTTATGGCTTGTCTTGGATGTATTCTTGTACACTGTCCAAAACTTCTGTCATTAAGTCCTGCAGACACAGAAGAATGGGGTATTACTATGCTGTGTATTTTGATTTGTATTTGCATGGTAGAACTTATAGCAACTTGTGGGTTACCACAGTAGACTGCTGAGTTAGAACAATCCTAAGTGGAATAGGAGTGGAAACTGGTCATCCACTTCTTGTCACCTTTTCTAGACTGAAAAGCCTTTAGTTTTTGAACCCTGTCCCTCTTGAGAAAAAAAGCTAGGCCAGCTCCAAGCTGCAGGTCCAAAACAATGAACTCCAAAGGTAGCATAGCTGAAGGCCTAATCTTGGGGTCTCTGGGGCAAACAAAAGGGCTTTGGGATCAGAGCTTTGAAGCTGCTCCTGGTAGCAGCACAGCCTACAAGGTCCTGGGTACAACAGGGCCAGTGGAGAGATATCATCCCTCACCTCCTTAGGGCAGCAGATGTGGGGTTATTACTGCTTTGTTGATTAGAACCCTTCCTTTCTTTGCTGCAAAGACAAATGCAAATGGGGTTATTACTGCTTTGTTGATTAGAACCCTTCCTTTCTTTGCTGCAAAGACAAATGCAAATGTTATCGTTTCAGGATCTCCATGAAGATAAGTGGGAATGTTTGAATGCAGGGTATTATCAGTGATCAAAACTGTGCCTGTTAGGCAGTGACAGAGTTGCCAGGGATGCTGAAAGAGATCATCATTGCAGGTATCCTTTTTCTAGTTTCTTTTCTTGCTGCTGATAATAAAGCTGCTGACTAATAATAAAGCATAAGCAGGACCGCAGAATCAGCCCATTAAGGAAGCACATGTCTCCTCAAAGCAGCTTACACAATGAAATGGTAAAATAAAATAAAAATGAGCCAAAACTGCAGAATAAATTATTTTAGTAGTGACAATAACTCCAATAATTATTCATATGTATTAATTTAAAACACCAGAGTGCTCCAGTCATAATACAATTGGAAAGTCTATCCATATGCACAGTGGCTTTAATTATTTTACAACAACTAGTAAAAAAAATCCTGGATTACTTGTTTTCCTTAACTAGAATTTAATCCTGAATTTCATTAACCAGATTACCCATCTTCCTGAATTTAGGTAGTATTGATATTAACTAGGAGAACTCACGACATTCTTAGACTTTACTGTTATTGAAAATGATAAAAGAGTCTTCCACAGCTAGTTACCTTTCAGAGGTCTTGGCCTATAGCTGCCATCACTTGTGACCTCTGAGTAGGCTGACTAAAACTGATGGTAGTAGGTCTAAAACTCCTTGAGACCTCTGTTTGCAGAAGGCTGCCTTAAATGCAAGCAATATGTACATGCCTAGAGAGGTCCTGGGCTCTCCCACACTGGAGACATTCAAGGCAAAACTGGACAGCTATCTGAGTGGGATGGTGTAATGTGGTGTCATGAAACAGCCGAGGCTTGGACCTGATGGCCTTCATGGATGCTTCCATTTCTATGAAATGAATTTGGGGAGGATGAGAAATTTGTAGTAATCCATTGCTTCTTCCAGATAACAGTATACAGTTCAGGTACAGATGAAATGGTGGCTCTCTCCAAATTAGTTTGCAAATTGGAAGATCTCTGAAGCAATTTCCTTTTCATGTAGGTATTAGCCATTGCTTAGGAGTTATGTACACCACTACTAACCATGGCTGATGCTAACCAGCAAACTGTCCCTTATAACCATAGTTTGCAAATCCATTTAAAATCATTGCACAATATATGCTTTGCAAGTTACCAGATTTGCTTGCAATTTGCAAATCATGATTTTTAGAGTGCCAGCATTATTGCACTGGACCACGGTCATTTCTAAATCTGCAAATGTTTTTCTGAGCTGATATAATGGTACCAGATGTAATGAATCATTTTGCAACAGTTACACATATTCTGATCTGAAAGTAGAATGTAGAATTACCCTTATTTAACATATTCAATTAAGTAAAAGAGAAATTACATTCTTGCTATTACTAAAAGACAGTTTGCTGATTCCAAACAACTCAGTATCTCCTCCTGCCAACAATTAAGGCATAATCTCTTAATTTCTAACAGTTTTAAAGATAATTATTCTGACAGAAGTAGGCAAGCATTAAATTAGGTGCAGATGAGGACAGCTCCCTGACTATTATGGTCTCTACAGAACCATTCCCTTCCTTCATCAGTAATCTGAAATATGTTACATTCTCCTTTCTAACACAACACATCTCAAAAACCTAAGCTCCTTAGATTCATATTTTTAGTTACATGCTTATTTGAGAGCATATTGTGACTGATATCCAGATACCAACCAAAAGAACATGAAATATTATGTTAAATTTAAAGAATCCAGTTGGTAAAAGAATAAACAATTACTGGATAAAATGTTACACTTTGTTTATGTATTATTTTATTGCTTTATTTATAAACAGAATGAAACAATTTGTCAGAGAAGTTACCTTACCTGCTTGGTATGTTATTTTCAAGATAACATTGTAAAATAAGAGAATGTCATAGTTTAGAGCCATCCTAAAATTACCTATGTTTTAGAATACAGAAATTGTAAGCATGCCATTATCAAGTGGTATTATTGAGAAAGTGTGGTGAGCACCACCACAAAATGGCTTCTTTGGGAGATATAGCCAAGAAGTAGCCTGCTCAAAAGTCTGAGCGAAAGGCAGACGTGGGTTGAGCCTCAATATACCAAACTCATTTGAACCTATAGTTTTCAGCACCAACACAAACCTAATTCACAACAGTGCCAGCTGATGCTAAGAAAATCTGTTTGTTTATTTATTGTTAACTGGGAAGGTTAGAGTATCTTGTCGGGGTCCAAGAAAGAAGTATGAGGGCACATATATTATAGAGCTTTGAAATATTAAGAAAAAAAGTAGAAATTATTTTCTCTCTTGTAAACTGATCACATTAGTCACCTCCAAATTCAAATAATACCCCACCACAATGCTGACAGCTCAAAACATAAATGTCTCAAACACCAGAAATCAAAGATCCAGTACAAATGATCAACCAGCCAAGTGCCAGTCTGTATGCCAGGCAGTGTTTACTTTCCAAGCCAGGAGCACTTGAGGAGAAATGCACTGGGAAAGAACTTTGTGGGCTTTCTGTGTATACTGGAAGAACCACCCCAAAACCGTGGGAAGAATGCCATTTTCTAAATTGCCTTTGCAACCACCACTTTCTCCAGTTTGTTTTCACGCTCACGCCTTGGAGACTTGAAATCTAAGACAGGCCCCACCTCCACTCACTAGGGCTTGCCTCAGAGGCTGCAGTTAAGCAAGTTGTAGAACTGCCATCTGGGGCTGTCAGGTACAAGCAGTGCACAATTGGAGAAGTCATCCAGTTGTTCAGACAGGGGGCGTGGTGAGACAGTGAATGCGTCTATCCATTTGTCCCATGATATCTTATTCATCAATATTAGACAGCTAAACTTTGGCATTTAGAATGCGGTTGTGTTAAAATGCTGCTGATTCCTAGCACTACATACTGTGATCAAAATGACATAAAAGATTAGGGACTGGGCAGAGAGAAAAATTGTCTGAGTTAGGAGTCAGATTGAATAGGTTCGGGTCCAAAATTACATTTTGCTAGTGGGTTTCTTTTCATCAAAAACTGAAGACCACTGTCAACTACAAGCCAAGCAAGAGAAGAAGACAACTTCAGATAGGATTGCTTTAAATAATTAAATGCATTTAGCTGTGTATCAGGTTACTGAAGTCCTTCCTTTGTTCTCCTATGTTAGAATCAAATGAAGTGTACTGTTACCTATTGGCACAACAGTGAAACATGTCAGACAGAATGTCCTTCTCCAAATCTCTTAATTCTCAAAACTCAATCATATGAGTGAAAGGTCCATTTGTATCCACTTTCAACACCTGTCGGTTTCCATATGTTCCATGCTTGAGAACAACACCAGCCTCAGCACACTTGGCATTAGCAGCCAGTTCTCTTTCACACTGAAAGACTAACTGGGAATAGAGCTCCAGCCCTATTTCCTTTTCAATATTGGAGTGATACTGCATTCTTCTTCCTTTCAGTTTACCACCCAATGTGGCCTGAGGTATTATTAATATGCTGCCTGGTAAATCCAAAACAGAAACGTATTCACCACCTTCAGTTTCACTTAGCTTCACATGAATAAGTGTATTGACTGCAAAGATAGAGGAAAAAATACCATCACTGCTAAGTTTTAGGACAGTTATATATTAACAACACAGTATTTAAATTCTATCTATTTAACTAAAAAGGTTGAATCCAGAATCAGTATTCCACAAGAGAAAGTTAATTTTTGTGAGAAGTGCTCCACTCACAGAAGGTCACTCAATCCAATTTTTCAAGATTTATTCTTTCTCCAACTCACCAACCAGACTCTCCGTGTAGCATTTTTGGGGGCTGTTGTGGAAATGATGGATCTGAAAATTCTACTTCCATCATCTCCATGATCCACAGTAAACCTTAATCCAACTAAAACCAGGGTAATCCAATTTACCCTGCTTTTCAGCTGAAAAGAATCTCAGAGAAGTTTATATTTCAGTAAAAGCAATGCAACCCCTTCTCTCAGGTTTTCAATAAAAAAAGACCTGATACAAAAGGACAAAGGAATGGGGAGGAACATAAGAAAATTCAAATACAAATTCTTAACATTATAAGAATGTCTTATGACAACAGTAGCCTAACATTTACAATTTAATGGAGAGAGAGAGAGAGAGAGAGAGAGAGAGAGAGAGAGAGAGAGAGAGAGAGAGAAGGACCTGAATTCAATATTGAGCTCCATACAAAATCATTCAGGAGTAAATTTGCTTGTATATTAGCTCCACCTCCTGGCTACCTGATATACTTTTTTGTCGAAATATAAATGTCAGTCTAGAAATATTTCTAGCCTAATTAGGAACTAGGGCATTGTAATCAGTTGAAAGACCATTTCTAAACATTTAACTAATTTTTGGACACCCATCTCTAGTTGTTTTAAAGTCTACAAAAATAGAAAATCTGGCAAAACTTTTTCAAATAACTGCATGAAACACTGTGATGCCACCCAGGAAAGCAAATGGATGCACTATCCAAAATAAATTATTTGCTGATCAACAAATTAGGACCCATACTGTAAGGCTAACATTCAAATTCTTTTAGCTTCAGTAAATACTTAGGACTGTTTCCACTGGGTGAAGTCCAATGGGGCACTTTCCTTTATCAATTCTGGGTCACCTGCCAATTTTTATCTGCTAGTGGGACCCACTACTAACCAGTACATATTGAGAAATCCGTGCCTCCACTTGTTTCAGGGCTTCATCTGAAAGCACTAGATCTCTGTTGTACAAGCAGCAGATCCTACTAATGCAACAGGATCATTGGAACCCACCATTTGCTCAACAGAATTAGAATGGCATAATGGAACTGACAGTGGAAGCAGTGGGAGAAAATCAGTGCTTCTATGTCTTAAACAAAAACGACTTCTAAACAATGAGCACAGTATGTGCTAAAAGACACTTTGGATTTGATACAACACTGGTCATTCCATTAGCAGATTAATTTCCCATGTATACTGGACCCCCCAAAATCTGCTACAAACCAGTGGGAAACACCCTGAAGAAGATTTAAGGTACATGTGGGAGTGGCTGGATAGACTGGAAGTTGTACATGTAGTCCTTGGATTAAGAATGAATTATTTTCCCAAGAATGTTCTTGAGTCAAATCACATGAGTAAGCCAAATGTTTGTCTTTGTAGATGCATATACCTTTCTATGCATATAAAACACTTAGCACTTCCATATTCACCAAAACATCCTAAAGACAATACATCATTGTAATAATGATAATTACACTGTAATAATAACATAACTAAAGGTGTATTGAATAGAGAGAATCTGTATGAATGTATAGGTAAATAGCAATGTAAAAACAAATAAAAGGAAAAGTTCTTAAACCACTTTGGAACATTCTTGAGGAAATATTAAACCTAACACTAATGATGATGATGATGGACCTGCTTCTGGAGAGTAAAGGTTTGATTGTGCTGCTGGAGGGGGTGGGGGTGTTACCACTAGAGTTGCTTTCTTGAAGTAGACATCAAGGCTTGTTTGTGCAGCCATTTTCTTTTTCTCATCATAAGTGGCCTTGTAGCATCTGAGAACCTCAGTAACTACACAGTAAACCTTTTTGAAGCTTTCCATTCTAGGATCTTTTCCACTTGAGTTTCTATCATGATTGGCTACAAGGAAAAATGCTAAAGAAACACCAAAGGGGAACTACGCACCCTGCATGAGCCCCAAAACACACTTGCTTGGTGTCGTGTGTATGTGTTCTGGCAAACTTCAGGTGTATGTATGAAGGGCTGTTTTGGCAGGACTGATAGCTCAGAGCCTGAGGATGAAATGTGTGCAGGGGAGGCTGTCTATCATGGTGGGACTGACAGCTCAGCTTCGGATAACGAGATGACTGTTGAAACGATCCCAGTTCTAGCTACAGTCCAAGGGCCTAGGTATCCACCTGTGCCTGCTGTGGGGGAGATTAGTTCAAAGGCAGCCAATGGGGGCAGTCAACCCACCCTTGGGAACGTGGAATAGCGTGATGTGATAGTGCAGTGTCACAGTTGTAGGGTGGCCCAGGTGAGGTCTGCGAGGGAGGAACACAGGCATGCCTGGTTCCACAACGCTCTTCCTCCCAGGAACAGATGCAGGATTCATAAGGAAAGCTTTGGGTGAAGAATGGCAGAGATGGTTCAACATTTTGCTTTGTGCATGCTCCAAGACTTGCAAGTAAAATAAATATGTTTGACAAAGAAATGCTGGTGAAACTGTTACTGCTGGGAGGTAGAAGCATGGCTCACAAAACTTGGGAATGCTCAAGCTGACACTGCGGATCAAAAAAGCTGTGACTATTGTATCTCTAGGAAACTACACAGCTACCAAGAGATGGATCACCAAACACATCACGTAGTTTCCTAGAGATAGTCACAATGCGGCCACTGATAACATGTCACCAAATGCATTGCATAGTTCCCTAGCAATATTCATGGCTTTTTTCTACAGATATTCATATAGGGTTTATGACAATCTGCACATCTGTAAGTATGGTCTGTTTGTAACCAAGATGTTTGTAACCTGGGAACTATCTGTATTATAACTGTAAAGCAAGACTGGCTCATGAGAACACATTATGCCAGTCCTCCACTGGTTGCAATCCAGGTTCAACATGCTAGTATTAACATTCAAAGGCCTAAATGGCTTGAGACCAGGTTATCCAAAGGTTCACCTAACTGGAGCCTGACTTCATCTTTTGGAGCCCTTCTCTGGAAGCTCCTTCCAGGAACCGAGGCAGGTGGCTACCAGGAAAGGGGCTTTTTTTGGTTGTAACAGCACAGTTTTAGAATGAGTTCCACAAAGAGGTGTGCCTGGCACCTACTTTGCATTCTTTTAAGCACCAAGTGAAGATCTTTTTTTATTTGATTTATACTTCCATTTATGTGCTACCTAATACCAAAGTCTCAAGGCAGCTGAGACCAATTAAAAAAAAATTCCCAGCATTTTAACAATCTAACTTTGCTTTTATGTATACCATTATATTCTATAACACTGCTATGCTTCTGTGCTGAATAAGAGCAATAGCAGTTGCAATCAAGGTTTTGTTCTTTTAAATGAATGTGTGTGTGTATGTGTGTCATTTTAACTTTTATTTAATTTTAACGTTTGTTAACTACCCAGAGAACCTCAGCTTTGGGTGGTAATAAAAAGGAAATAAATAAATAAATAAATAAATGAGTCGGGGGTGTGCAAACCAAAGACTGCACAGAACCCACAGTTTGACTTTTATCAGGGCTGGCACATTCTCCCACAGATCCTTTCCACACAACAGTGTTGCTTGTTCTTGAAAATATGAACTAGGTATGAACACACAGTGCTGGGCATGAGCATACAGTGTAGAGATGGCCTAATGTGGATTGTGTACCACTAATCAAGCTTATTTCCAAAGTGCTCATGAAATCATAACTTTTTTTTAAAGGGCAGGTACTAAAATAGCATTGCCAATTCTGCTTGTATTTCAATAGTATCTCAGGTCAAAAGCACAATATGGCACTATATTATTAACATACTCTGCTTTGATAACCTTATTAACAACTGCCTTAATAAGAACCAGTTCATTAAACAGTGCCTTGGACTAAGTGCAGCACAACTCAGAATGAAACACTTGCTTAGAATAACTTTCCTCAGAGGAGCATTTTCATTATTTTAATGCAAAAACTCATTAAACAAGTTATTATACTACAATTATATTACAGGTTTAGTGATGTATCTGGAGTTAATCACATAGTTTCTTTTGCAGTTCTTTTGCCTGTTTTATGAATAGTTTACCTAAAAACCTACCCATTTGTGGAATAATTTCTTCGCTAGCCCCTTTGAAGAAGCATACATAGATTATAAGTCCTCGCTGGATCTATATAAAACAAAGACATATTTATACATCCATGCAGCTGTGCAGTGTAATGAAACAGATCCATTAATTCCATGCATGAAACCATATGTGCAGTGCAATTCCAGGTCAGAAGTGTCAGCTCAGAAGCCCCAGAGAGTTCAGTGAGAATTGCTCACAAATAAGCATTATTGGACAAAACTCATTCACTTCTATCTGGACTGCAGTGCATATATTAATTTGTTAAATTCATTTATTTTCCTCATCTGACATACCAAAATGAAATGTCATCTCAGAGTTAAAAGGTTACATTATTTCTTTAAAGGGGTAGGAAATCCCTTAAATACATTTTTGCAAGAAAAGTAAATACATTCCTACACAGGTCACATATTTCACTGCTTCCCAAATTGCATACTTTAAACTCTCTCTCTCTCTCTCCAGTGCCAAAGGAAGGAGTACATTTACTATATTTCTTGCCCAGAGAAATAGTCATATAGATTTCTTTTTATATACACAGCTCGGAAAATACTCTCAGAATAGTATCAGAGAAAATGCCAACAAATCTATGCTGTACTCGAACAGCACAATCCGCCACATGGCACGAATGGTTCATGGAGACTCTGTGATCTTTATACATGCCTACTCAGAAGTAAGCCTCACTGAATTAGGCAGCAGCTACTCCCAGGTAAGTCTTTGCCCTCCCTTCAAGGTGATCGCGCCCAATCCAAAGGAGCCATTTGTAAAGCCAAAGGCAGATTTCGCGCTGACATCACAAACCGTGAATGAAACGCAAGAGAGGCTTCACATGTGAGATGTCCCCCAAGCCATTTGCTTTGAGGATTTTTTTTTCCTTTCAGGGCCCAAAAGGTGGTTTGGTGACCAGTACCCGACCAGATGAATAATGTGTGCATGAAGCACTTCTGGCACATAGGAAAAATCTTTAAGATAGCAATAATGATCTGAATGAAATCTGTATTTCTAATGAAGCAGGGTGAAGCTGTCCGATTCGAAGAGCAAATCGTGGATGACTTAGAGAGCGAGATGATATGAAAGACCCTTGAACTCCTATCTCGGCGATTTTCCACCTACAGATATGACATGCGGATCAGAGTGACAGGAAGAGGGCGCAAGCTGCTCCTGCTGTCTAGGGAATCACCTAAGGCGAGCCATCCCCCGAAGGGATTTATCCGTGCAGATATTACCTCCACCCACGTGGCTTCGGCGCCCGGCTCGGCAGGTTTCACCTGCAGTTTCGCGTGCAGACATTGCTGCAGAACGGCCCGGGCTACCGGACCGCGGCTGGAGCGCGCCGTGGCCATTGCACCCACCCCGGGCCACACACAGGAAAGAGAGGCGCCCCGCCTCCAGGCCTGTTTCTCCAGCTCCTCCTACGGCGAGCCCAGCTCCGCCCGCCCCTTTCCCCTGCAGCAATCAAGGATACCCCTAGAGACAAGACCATTAGAGTGACACTCCATTGGCCTGAAGACGGCACTTCCTGCTTCCTTAAAAAAAAATCTATATTTTCCTCCAATCTTAGGCGAAAGTGAAAGGTGCTCCAGCGTCCCCCATTTTAACTTTACGAATAATTCCTCCCGCCGCTCTTAAAGCTGTCCATCGAAAAGAACAGCAAAATCCAGGCTTTCAATGTAGTTGTGGTTGTCAGCACCTCATCTATTTAAAAATCTTTGGCAAATCTGTGCAGATATCAAGGCGTGGAATAAGCAAGGAGTCTATGACGTCAGCATCTAGAAATTTAGTGAAACTGCATTTCTATTAAGGTGCTCCTCTAACACGTTCACTGTTGGACCAATAGCATTTTTCCAAGTGGTGGGTTCAGGATCACATGGAGGATTATAGGAACCGTATCTCTACCACAGCTGTCCAGGATTACTGTCTTTCTCGCACTCGCTCCCTCCAGCACACACAGTATGTATGGTAATCTAGTTTTGTAGCTGGCTGCAGTAATTATAGCGTTCTGTAATGCAGTTACTTATTTAACAGGTGTTTATACCACTAAGGAAGCAGCCACAACCTTGTCTGAGGACCGTAGAATATGGGGAATTCCGCCCTCCCCGCCCCAGGTTAGCAAGCTTGGCGGGTGTGTGTGAGAAATCTCAAAGCAATTCACTGCATTAAAACGTATACTAAAACCTTATTTGCAGTAGAAACCTACGCTAAAACTGTATCTGGAATAAAAACCGAACATATCAAAATTTAAAGACTGAAGAATCAGAACTAATGGTCAGAGAAATCCTACACAAAGAGGGTTTTTTTTTGTTGTTGTTTAATAACCATTAGATACTATTTATGGTTCTCTGAGAAGCATCTTTCAAATGCATCTGACAACAATTTCGGTAATCTGGGCAATTACAGCTGAGAGATGAGTGCAGTTGTAGTTTAATATTTTTTGAGTGCACCAAGTTGGGAGACACTGCCATAGACTGGGCCACATTCAAAAAGATCCGTTCTGAAGTTCTTGAAGATGTGATAGGCAGTGCTGTAGGGGAGTCTGGTTTTGCAGGATTGCAATACAGGTGAGAACTTAATCTGCCCCTGCTACTACCCTTCAGACTTCCCATCTCTGACTGAGTTTAGCTGATATATTGCTTCCTATTGTAATATTTATTTATTTATTTTATTTATTAAAACATTTTTATGCCGCCCCATTCGCCTAAGCCTCGGGGCGGCTCACATCATCAAGTTAAAATAATTATAATATAAATTAAAAATATAAATATTAAATTAAAATACAACATTACAGTATAAAATAAGCCGCCCTGGCCAAATAAAACCAATAACGTTAACAGTTAAAATGCCGCTTGAATAAAAAGGTCTTTGCCTGGCGCCGAAAAACAAATAACGGCGGCGCCAGGCGGACCTCTCTGGGGAGCGCATTCCATAACTTAGGCGCCACCGCAGAGAAAGCCCTCCTCCGAGTACCCACCCTCCTAATTTCTTTCATGGAGGGTTCCTGGAGAAGGGCCTCCCCCGCCGATCTCAAGGGGCGGCTGGGCATATATGGATGCAAGCGCTCCTTCAGGTAACCAGAGTATTATATAGAGTATTTTGGGGTCTTTGTCTTCACTGCTCAATTAAGGCCCATTAGCTTTATGAAAGACCTGCTCCCAGAGGAGATAAAACTGCTGGAACTGATCTGGTGATATGGTTCAATTCAATTGACTGCAATTGTTAAGTATCCTTAGAAAGTGACTTTGGAGAGTCAAAATTTGGGAATTCACTTCAAAGTTTGTGAAAGGACAGTAAAGAAATGCTATGCATATATCTGTTACATGTTTACTTTGTGTTCCCTATGTGAAAGGAATGTTTCTGAGCATACCTGTGGTCGTCTTTTGTTACTGTCAAAGACTTGTGCACCAGTTGCTTAGTCATGTTGGGATGGAAGAGGACGCAAGACAATAACTTTGACTATTGTTAGATGGCAGTCAGGTATGTTCAGTTCTGATTGGCTTGGGATTTTAGCTAGGTAGAAAAGAGCACCTGGCAAATGGAAATAAAGGTATTGATAGTTAGAGTCTGTTCTGTGAAGGTGAGGGAAGTGCTAGTTGCTGTTGGCTGGTTTAAAAGATGTATTACCCTAGTGTCCTGGTCCATCTGATGGAAAATTTATGGTTCCCTGTGCTTGAATTCTTTGTAACCTTGCTAAAGCCTCAACCTGAAGAGCGGCCCTCACATCATACAGACATTCAAAATTTTTGTGTGTATGAATCTAACACTAGTTAACAGAAATTGTTCAGCTGAAACAGCATTCTTAGTCATGACAGTGCTTTACTAGCGTGAGAAACTGGACATGCACTGAGAAGACAATTGCTGGCACCTAACTTTCTGCTTAATAGTCCTCTGTTAAGCTAAGTGTGGAATGTGGCCTACTTTCTTTACCTAACAATGCACAGAAGGTGGGATCAAAGTAGGGATGGGAATAGCCCACAATGACTAATAACTGAGTTTGTTCTTAATGGTATACAAACATTTGGATTGTTAATGGCTGATGCTGGACTCTTATGAAGGAAGAGTGGACTGCTCTGTATTGTATGCATGCTTCAATAAAGAGCTTTTGTTTTTTGTTTTTAATCTTGCTGGTGGTTTGTTGTCTCTTGTGGTTAGACAAATCTTTAGACCATTTGGGGTTAGAGTTCCTTACACAGCCAAGACTCCTCAAAATTTAAGGATAATCAGAAAGAAATGAAACAAAGCAAAACCACATGTGGAGAATAACATACAGTTTATTGAATACAATAATAAAATGTGGATACAGATTATCAATAAGCAAGAAGAGAAAATGCTCACAAACATTAGGGTTTCCTAATGTGAATGCTGTTGCCCTGGAGCATTGCGTTGCTTAGATACTTTCCTCATTCTAAGATAAAAGCCAAAGGGCAAACTAGCAAGCTAATGCTTTAAAAGCTATTTCCCTAAATTCTAAAAACTGGGGGGAAAGGAGAGAGGGGATGAGAAGAACCAGCTCAATTACTGCTTGCAAAAGGATGTGTAAACATCCTTCTCTCAAGGATGAAGCAAGAACTTAACAGTAGCTGATCTCATGCCTTCAGTGATTGCTCTTGCTACGGTAAAGGCCTGTGTTCAACACTGAGAACAGTTCATACTAGCTCCTCATTGAAATGTCTTCCAGTTACTGATCCCAATAAAAAAAGACTGGATATTAAGCTGTTCC